CAACAGGCAAAAGTGAGCGCGTCAGAACGGCATTAACCAGCACTGGGGATTTTCTGAGGAATACTTCGAGCTGCGACAAAAACCCTTTTTTGTGTACCGTCTCAAGTGAGCGTATTCGAATATCCGGAATGCATCTACAACGGATTCTTTCGTAGAAAAGGAATAAGCAATGGTTGGTTCAGCGCTCATTAGCTTTATTGGATGCGCCATGTATCAGGCCCCCACGCACAGGTAGTGAGATGGTGCCTGTCAACGCGACCAAAGATGTATTTATAGGATTCATGAAGGTCCATGTTGTTGTTGTTTATTGTTGAGTTGTGTTGCGAGTTGTCGTTTGTTTGTTTATTTACACTCTTGTTTGTTGGGGATGATGAGGCGTGTACACCCCCATCATCCGCGTTTGCGCAGTTGGTGGAGAGCGGACTTGGCGGCACGCCGCCGAATCCGTGCTCCACCAATAGCTGAGTCGGTATGTGATATCAAGTGCAGGAAAACGACTGATACGTATAATATGATAGTCCTGTCGTCCGCCGGAGGGGAAAACAGGTTGGCGCCGCGCCAAACGCTGTCGCGCGCACACGCTCCATCATCGAACCAGAGTATAGCATGTACTGCTTAGCCATCTACGTACTTACGAAATTATGTCAACTCATTAATACTTCTAGTTAATCTTGGAATAGTTTAATTTATTACTTTTTGTGCTCTTTTGGGTTCTCTACAAAGCATGTTTCGCTGTACAGGACTCAGCACGCTGATATCTTTACGCTGTTCGGAACTGACTGCCCCTCTCATCACGACCCCCCCCCCTGTTGGGGAATCCCCAACGATGATGTGCCCTGCGCTTGGGTCGAGTTGAGGATGAAACCTTCATCAATTAGGCTGTGAAAGACCATATAACACGAGCTACCAAACGCACCTTGGACAACTACCGGTTACGGTATGCCGATTGTGCGCGTTCACGACTCGACTTTTTAAGTTCACACGCGATTCTCGATACTGCTACACAGCTCTTGAAACAACCTGAACCTATAATCTTGTTCACCGTACTAGGGAGATCGCCCGGCGGCGCATTGTGAGCCGCTGGCGCACTGCTAACGTCGCGTGCGGCGAGCCACCGGCCTCCAGGAGACATCACAGCTGGTAGGCAAAGGCGGCGGCGTCGCAGGCCACACACCGCCACGAATCACTATGAATAACTTTAATGAACAAACCACATACTTTAAAATGAAACGAACTGACAAGAGCTAGATAATTTATTTATTTGAAAAAAAATTTTATGATGATGAACCGACCGACTTTTTCCATGCTGATTGATTTTAATATACAACGTCTAGACACGATTCGAAAACTCGATCGATATTCCTCGTATCGGTCGCATTCGTGAAATGCACATATAAAGGCTTTTCGTGTTGAATTTCTGGAATGAAAAGCACATTTTCGAAGAGATGACTTCAGAAATGCAAAATTTTACCAGAGCTGACAAGCCGTTGAAATCGATCCTGAACGTATTGGGCTGACTCTTCGAAACACAACCGACGCAGAGTCGCGAAGCGCGCGGTACGGGCGCGACCGATTGGACGAGGGGGGTCTGGTATAACTGCACCTATTGCTGGCTTGTGGTTGAGAGAATCGTGGTGTTACGGGCCAGCGGCGGGGCTGTTTCCTGAAGATGTATGGGGGAATAAATGAGAATATTCAAGGAAATGGAAGCGACTTTCCATTTTTGGTCCCAACCGTGCAACCTATTGTATGCGACCGTGGCGTATCAGCGTCGCGGCCCTTTCGCATCATGTACGCTGAATTTTAGAACTTGTTTGAATTGGGGAGGTGATCGGTCCGCCTTTCCAGGGCATCAACGCCGCCCACAGTAGAGGGGCAGTTACATCAGGGGAGGTCGTTCAGAGGCTGGTGACTTTTCTCATGGTTCTTGTGCATCTTGTAGGGCGCACAATACGAGACCAGAAAACTGAGGTCAATTTTCTGCTCGCGCGCGCTTCTACGATATAAAAAAACGTAAAAATAGGATTCGATGCGATTCGGATCCCCAGCCGAGGACGATAAATTTTTGCTTTCTATCAATTTTTCATTTTTCGGATCCTGTTTGCTAAATAATGTTGGTCTAGACAAAAACGCATTCACGCATAAACTGAACAATCCTAGTTTTATGGATCAAAACTGCTTTTTCGTTCGAATTCGTTAGTATGCACAGACTCAGCTCTTCGGCGCTATGCCGGTGCCAGATGGCACTGGAACCGAAAATAAAGTCTAGAATCGTGATCAGGACTGTCGATTACCCCTAGGAGCAAGTTTTGAGCGAAAATTTTTTTTGACTTTTTCGGGTTGTAGGGCCGACCATTTGGTCGGCAGTATGAGCGGAGTCTCACATCTTCGTAACAGCGATGACGTATCGTTGGCGCTACGGACACCGGACAACCCAATAAGCAAACCCAAGAAGGTCCAAACAATTGCTTTGATTGAAAATTCGTTTTTAGTGGTAATCAGTGGCCCTGATCACAAATATAACACCTATTCTTGGCATTCACAAGAACCAATTTTGGCGGACAGAATACGCCGAAGCGATCCCAATATGGACGTAAATAACGAATCAGTAAAAGAAGAATGGCCCAAATTGTCTATAATTGGACACCAACACGCAGAATTACTAAATTCCGCAATCAGAATCTATAGCCTATGAGGATCAACGTCCAGCAACAATCTTGCTCAATGGTGCGTGAGAATCGAAATAGTTGAATAGCACTCACTCACGAGGAGCTACTCGGAATGTACCCATAAATGGCAAATATCCGAGTTATATTCATGCGCAGACACAAATGGAAGCGAGAACAGCGAAATCTAAAAAATGCAAAAAGCCACGACGCAAGGGGAGCCGAACCATCAACCCCACATACCCCCTTGTCCGAACTTGCGAAACCAATCAACTCGGATCTCGCTAGCCATCCGATTCTCGACACCCTAGCGCTCTATCCGTTGATCAAAACCATTGCAAGAAGCCGTTCACCCTTGAGCACATGACCCAAGTTGGAAGCTCACTTGCGGCGATTTTTTCGCTTCGATTCAAATAGCCCCTTTATAAGGACCCCCCACTCAGCAACTGGTCAAAGTTGCAAGTGACCTACGCCGTAAAGAGGCCCAGAACGAAGCAGATTCCAAAGGATTTTTTTCACACATCGTTTTTTTACCGGTTACACTGGGAACCCGCGCAGCGAAAATGAAGCACGACTTTTCAGTCTTGCGCGAGCCCCTACAATATGAAAGAACGCGTTTTTCGAAAGCACCACGCCCCTGACGACCTGCCGTTGTGTAGGCCGTGACAACAGGCTGAACCACTTCCTGGTTATCTATACCCTGGTAACTTCGAGGTCATTAAAAAGGCATGGCTCATATTGTTAGCATACTTCCACTCGAAGCGAACCGAAAACGAAAAAGGCGTTGCGGGCGACGATGGGGGGTGATGTACACAGCATTCGCGCCAGGACCCGATCCACTCTGTGTGGCAGCGTTGCACTGCGTCGTCTCTCTCTTCGCCTGCTCTCTAAAGTCGACTAGCTCTCTCTTTCATCTTACTCTCTCTCTGCTTGTGTCTTGTCCAGTCACTAGCTAAAAGCACGCTATACTAAGGCGTGATGTCGCTCGCGACTGGAAATTCGAAAGAGATCCTAGAAAAAGCGCGCGGCCTGTGGTGGTTATCACTGAAGTCAGTGAACCTTTAGAGCGGTCTGAGCCATTTTCCAACAGGCCACTGAGCGCCCGAAGTAATAAAGACGATCGAAAACGGGCTGGTGACGCGACGAAACCCACGCCACGCCCACTGACACGCCCCTATTGTCCTCAGTGATAGCGACTGTACTCACACCCTCTGCTCTCTCCCCGCTAGGTGCCACCGCAACGTGGACCCACCCCACAGCTACCTCGGTGCTTGTTATCACTTTTTCTTACAATGCGAACCTCAATGGGTTTGCAGTGCCAGCACGTTACGCAACCGCTCGCATAGGCAGTATGTGAATTGCACAACCAACCAAGGAAGTTCCCGCGACAAACGCACCTTTATAGTCCTTAAAACAGGTTTTCAACGATGTTGTCAGTAGTTTCCGCTTGAAAACGTCGATTTTATTGAGAAATAGTATCATCGCTGTTCTCTTCCCAAAACATCGATTGTTGGCGACTCGTTTGAATAGGCGCATACTATACTTCAATCGATTCTGCAACGAATTTTAAATTTATGAGTCGCGCAAACTACCACATAAACCCTATTTGCGCTGAGGGCGGAGTTGTGGATATCCATGTGTGACGCAGCGTTTGGGCTCGCGCGGACGCGCGACGGCGCGCTGTAACTCGGTACAGTTGCAGCAGCGCTTCAATCCTTTTGGCGCGAACGCAGCCACAGACAGGAATTGATCGACGCCGCTTGTGTATTGGGAAAGTAGGGGGAACTGGAGGGTACGTGTTGCCTAATCAGGCATGGTATCGATCGGCGGTGGCCGCTAGGGCGGCGCCGATCGATACCATGCGCTGTCACATTCGTGGCGCGTTACAACGCGTCGTCGCGCGTCCGCGCGTTACAGCGTGTAGGCGCGTGTCGTCTGAACGCTGCCCCACATAGCAAAAGGACACGGCGCTGTCTGCGACGCGTCTTGATACTGTATCTTGTTCAGCGCGTGGGAGCACTGACTAGTACCACGCGGGTCCTCGGGTGGGTGAAGAGCAAGACGTCCTTCTCATTTTCTGACCCTCACTTCGGAGCTTTCTCCATGAGAGAACACATTTTATTTCACGCGCAATTTTCGGGGTACTGTAACACGCCTCGTTTCCATGAAATTATAATCTTGCCCTCGCCAAGAGCGACACCATCGCGCATATTTCGTTGTGTAACAGTCTATCATGCATCGCGGATCGGTGGGCGTGTCGCGCGGCTGCGCGTTTGGCGCGAGTGCGCAGAAGTTCGTCTCCGCACCAGTTGGTTGGAGCGGCGAAAGGTGACATTACCTGTATACTCCTTCATATTACTCGTTTTCTACCACTTTTGTCGCATACGCGCGTTCAACAATAAGGCTGAGAACGGCTTCAACAGTGTGCACACTCATACTGGCTGACACCATGGTCGCAATGATAGAAGGACCTGTACTTTCGCGCACAACGACAAGCTAACGGCGTAATGGAGGAGTGAACAGGCTCCCCATTTAGGCAATCCCACCATATTTGTTCAGTATTTTTTGAGAGAGTTTTCTACTCACCTTTCGTACTTCTCCATCATCTTCGATTAGATTATAGGCAGATATTTCAGCAATGAATAGTACACCGCTGACGTTATCAAAGCAATGGATCCACTTCCGTTGTTCTGATCGCTGACCTCCAACGTCGACCATTCTGGAAATTCATGTGCAGAAAGCATAATTGAAACAAGGGTTATTCGGCGCTGTTCGGCCTAGCGGGAGTGGGGTGGGAGGGGGGGGGGGAATAGGTACTTCGCTTCCCTAGGTCCAGTTGAATCTAAGTATATCACCTTGGTCAGACCTGTGAACTCTTGTCATGTGTAAATAAAGTTTATGCTATCGCGCAGCTTCACAGGAGTCAACATGTCTCCGGAGGTGTCATCGGCAGTGACCGATGTGAACCAGCAAAATGCCCCACCAAGCCGAACTGCGCCTGATAATTACTTGTTATATGTTACTGGAACGGTGCAGTAAGTAGGAGCGCAAAGAAGTCCTGGTGCTAACTGAGGACCCCTAAATATTACAGTCGTCACATTATCGTTACTACTTGCTAGGGGAAGGCCACAGTAGTGGTTCCGACCGTTCAGTTACAGCGAAACGTACCCATACAGACAAATTGTACACTGGACCTTGGAGTGAATAGGTCCGCAGCTGCAGTAGTGTGCCATTTTCTATGTTCAGAAGTGCACGGAAATGGGCTGGAGGGTGGAGTTCCCGAGCAGTGTTTCCATACTCTGCGCTGTCGCACGGCCTGCTAGACGCCTAGTCATAGCCAAATGCGCTACTTGTCTGCAGCCTCTCTCACTTCTGATTGTTCTCTGCCGGTGTGCGCTAGCTTTGGGACTTTTTTGGATTCGATACAAGTGGTGCACCTTTGGAACAGTACCAAAGTATGGAGACAACACCCGGGTATCATGACCCTCTGGTCCAGTTCCCGTGCGCTTTCGAGCGATGAAAGTGGCGCGCTACTGTAGCTGCGGACTTCGCTTTGAACATGGCAGGTCGATGCGAGTGTACAGTTTGAGGGAGCAGTACGGCGACGGGAGGGCATACCGCACTTTCGTCGCTTCATTAGTTCCGTTTACAAGTCATACTCTGGTGGAACCCGTGAATTCTTGTGAAGTTGGAGCAGGTTCATTAAGCCATCAATGGTAAAACCTGTCATTTGAGAAGAGGCTGTCTAGATGGGTCGACACGTCGATGGGAAGTAGCAAAAGTGCAGAATGCCCACCCTCCCCACCTCGTCGCCGAGCTGCCCACAGCTGAGTCTTCGAAAGAAATCGCCAAGCCATTCAGTTTAACTCACCTCAAAACAACGTGTTTATAAGTGAATTCAATCTCGTTGATACCGGAGGTGGGCACGCGAGCTCTGATCACGTCCATCTCATTGGCACGGTAATCAGCACCACTTATTCGGTCTAAGTCGTCCAGAAAGCTAAACAATAACATTATCAGAATGTGCCATAGCTAGTTTGGGTATAGGTGGCGCAGTGGCAAGAGCCGCTGTATCAAACTAGGCCTTTCCCAACGGCTCAAACCCAAGACAACTACAACTTCCCTATTCCGGCTGAAAATGATGCAGTGTTCGTGAGAAACCCTCTAATCCGATGCAGGTTTCCACCCTATAGGCCGGAACGAACTGCATGGTGATTTAGGTTTTTAGGAGTTTTAGCGCGGTTCCCGCTCCCAAGCCATAAACCTTAGAGACAGGTCCCGCATGGATCATATGTGCAGGCACCTTCCTTTGACAAAATGATCCGGTCCACAAGGGCGGATGACCTCGCGGCTTGTGGTGAGCACGCTACCC